CACGGCGGCCGACCCTCTGCAGAGCGCTAAACACTCACCCACCTGGACTGCTGACAGGTTCATCTGCTGCTCGGTGGGCCTAATAGACGGGCTGATATGAGGTGTGTGTTTCCCCGTCAGCGCTCGTGTCGCCGTCTGCTTCTCGCAGCTAATTGAGCGACCGGTTGTGCGGCAGATGGTGATGAGAGCACACCGAAGCGACGACTCTGTGACTTTTCTCAGTCTTTAGTTTTTCCACATCCAGCCAAACAGTCCACAAACTCTATCATTTAAACAGAAAGAAAGGTGATAGATTTGAATCTGGCTGTATTACATCATTATTACAGCTCTAGTTTTACTTAAATTAACCAACTATTATTTATGTTACTGACCACTTTCAGTAGTTTATTTTTTTAAAAAACATTATTTATATTTTAAGCAGGCTAAAGCATTTAATTTGTTATATGTAACTAATGGTATCATTTCTTTATTCATATATGTGTAAAACTAACATTTTCCTCTGCCATAATTTTAGCTTCCAACCTTTATTTGTAATTTTAGCTTACAGCTACTGTTAAGCTACACTTAGCAAACGGTTTTACTGCTAGCAAAACATTTAGCTAATAATTTCCAATTTTTTATGTTTCATTTGGTAATGGTTTTAGCTAGCTGTTTTAAGTGTTTAGCTATTTCATTTCTTTATTCATATATGTGTAAAACTAACATTTTCTGCCATAATTTCAGCTTCCAACCTTTATTTGTAATTTTAGCTTACAGCTACTGTTAAGCTACACTTAGCAAACGGTTTTACTGCTAGCAAAACACTTAGCTGATAATTTCCAATTTTTTATGTTTCATTTGGTGATGGTTTTAGCTAGCTGTTTAAGTGTTTAGCTATTTCATTTCTTTATTCATATATGTGTAAAACTAACATTTTCCTCTGCCATAATTTCAGCTTCCAACCTTTATTTGTAATTTTAGTTTACAGCTACTGTTAAGCTACACTTAGCAAACGGTTTTACTGCTAGCAAAACACTTAGCTGATAATTTCCTATTTTTTATGTTTCATTTGGTGATGGTTTTAGCTAGCTGTTTAAGTGTTTAGCTATTTCATTTCTTTATCCGTATTTTTAACTGGCAAATTCAACTTATGCGCTTTTTCACAATCTTATGTAGTTATTTAAAATTTTTATACTTTATGTTTAGCCGCTAATTTAATTTCTTTATTCATATTTTTAACTTCCATAATAATTTCCACTTTTATTTATAATTTTGATGAGCTATTTCCGATGTTAATCTGATATTTCTGTATGAAGCTAAAAGTTTTGTTTCAGTTTTCAGGACAAGTGACGTGAATAATTTGTTAGCAAGCACCTTTTTTTAAAACCACACTTTTATAGCTTTTATATCATACCCATTTGAACCGTTCATTCTTTTGCCCTTTAATATTGCAGTTACCACTTTTTGGCTCACGCCTCTTCAGGCTCGGTAGTTTCTTTTTTTTGTTGTTGTTGTTTTTCAGATTATTCCACATAATCTTGCTTGGTGTTGAACCTGCAGGGGTTCTTCACCCTGTGTTAGGCAGGTTAAACTACGTTCATATTGACTTCATGGCTTTCAGCGTACGCAAACACACTCCATTACACGTTATATTTCTTTTTCTAACGATGCTCCTGGAGGGGAGGGCAATCTTTGATCTCCAACGTACTATGACTCCAGGTGCTGTCACCTGTAAGTCCACTGTTTGAACACCCTGACTTCATTTGTGATCTGCTCACACTGCGCTGTTTCTCTGCAGGGGGAAGGAGAAGGAGCCGAAGGCCCCGAGGACGCTGATCACTGCTGACGGACGAGTCTTGAATATCAATGAGCCCAAGTACGAAACAGAAGCAGGTTTTGCATCCTCACCGTGATGGCATGTTTGTTGCAGCAATACATGACAACTTCAAGATTTGTGGTGCTGCATAGATGATTGGGATCAGATCTTTAAGTATAACATTTTAAAGCCCCGACTGATCAACAGGTTAAATTTATATAGGAAACAATTATAAAGGAAAGAGCTGCAGGTCCACGGTTTCTATCACAGTTCTTCTTCATATCTGTCATGTTTTTACTTTGGCTCAGTGAGGCAGGTGAAAACTTATCAGGTGCTTTTTCTGGTCCACTTGCTGTCGTCCTGTTGGGGAAAAACATGAACGCTTGCAGGCAACCCGCTCCTCCTCCATTATCCAAACGGTTTATATCATGAGCAAGGCCACAGGGGTCGAGGCCTTAAAGCGCGCCTGATTTCATTTGTAATCTGAGCTGAGGACACGTTCGGGTCAGGAATATATGCTTTATGTGATATATCACCTTACTGCAGCGGGGCGACAGCACGCCGTGCTTCACTGCAGCCCGACTCGTAGCAGCCAGCTCAGTAAAGATGTACACGAGTGGCCGGGAACGTCACATGCTGCCGAAACAAGTTTAAGCCATAAAATAATGTGAGTTTGACCAACCTCACCGTCAGGGTCGTCTCACAACATCCAACTTCAGAGCAAAAAGAAACACATTTACAGCCTACTACAAAAAAAACAACAGTTTGGGTCTCCACAGCTAATTTTCTCCTTTTTAAGCCCGCATGGTTTTAACTAAATACCCTGTTTGGATTTTAAGTTGATGTCTGTATCGCAGCTAGAATCACAGGACTGGAAGGCACCAACAGGAAGTCTACTGATCGGACTTTATCTTCAGTCATCTGTCACTTATGGCTCCAAAAATGAACATCGTGGTGACAAAAACTCTCTTTGAGCTTTCATAATAATTTGTCCATCTATTATATACAGTCTGTGGAGGCACGGTGTAGATAGCAGTGTTTACATTAAGAATCAGTGTCATGTGTCCTGGTTTGAACATCTGGATTGTTGCTCTGTGTTGTTAACAGGCTGGATTTCTGTCTAACAGAAGATGAAGAAAACAACACGATTATCTTGGACCTGGAAGTTTACAGGTAGGAGCACAAACTCTCTGCAGCTTCATTTATCAAAATTAAAAACGAATCATGTCTTAAACAGGGGTTCAAATGGACTGAGCGAACAGACCTGTGTTTATCAATCCATATTTAATGGTGAGACGCAGAGTTACTCTCAGTTTTGTCAAATAATATTGAACCTTAGAAATCGATAAAGGAAAAAGCTGTACCTCGTTTTATTTTAAAATATAACTTCTTGCTGTAAATGAGATCTGTGTCTAGTCATGGTTTGTCTTCGTGTGTGTTGTGTAGCTGGTTTCTGTCTAATGTGGTGGCTGTTTGCACCAAATCCGATTTACCGCAGCCACATCGAGTGAAATTCATTTAAACTGTGGTCGGAGCTCACGTTGGGAAACCATCACGGTGCTTCTTTCACAGAGGATGTCCGACCAAAACTCTCCACCTGATCAGCGTCTGTACCTGTCTGTGTTTATGATGACTGACCTTCCTCTTCTCACAGACACATGGACACGTCTTTGATCGATGTGGACGTTCAGCCGTCGTACGCCAGAGTCAGCGTCAAGGGAAAGGTGCGCTGTAAAGCTTTTATTTTTATACTCAGATTAACTGGTGACCTTTCAGATTAGGTGATGCCTAATTTGAAGTTTAGCCTGTGCGTAGTTTTGGCTGCACACTCTGAACTTTACAACAAATTAATTTGGGGCTTTTTCCATCATAAAGGGCAGCAGCAGCCACTTAGAGTCAGTCATTAAGTCTTTGTCAGCTTGTTAAGTTTGTTGTTCAGACCCTCACGCACCATCGCTTCCATCACGCAGATATTCACAGTCAGAGCTCACCTTACTCGTACCTGATTGGACACTTTTTCCCATCAGAGCTGTCTGAATACTTCGTGGCGTAGATTCGTCAAAGTGTTGGAAACATTCCTCAAACATTTTGGTTCATATTTTTACGACAGCATCACAAAGTTTCTCCAGATTTGTCAGCTGCACATCCTTAAAGTGAATCTCTCGTTCCACAGCCCTACACTGCTCTGTTGGGCTGAGATGTGGTGACTGTGGAGGCCATGTGACTACTGTGAGACAGTCAAAGAGAGATGCTTTCAGCTTGAGCATAAAAATAGCCCCCACCTCACGACACCAGCAGCAGCCTGAGCCTTTCATACGAGGCAGGTTGGAGCTTTGCTTTCATGCTGTTGGCACCAAAAATTGAGATTCATCACATTCAGAAACGAATAAGAAAATGATTCAGTGCAGTGAAAACATTTCACAGCCGACTCAGTACAATGTGAAATTTTTACCTGGATAAGTGTAAGAGAATCTTATCTGTCCAAACTCTGCTGTGCATCTTAAAACCAAAGAACAGTGAATAATAATAGTAAATATTCAGAAGCAGCTCTTTGTGCACAGTTCTTGTTCGGTGCCTCTTAGATTGGTCGTCTTTCCCCATGTTTGTCATCATATTTAATGTTCATGTCTCTGTGTTTTTGTGTCTTGGTCACTTCCTGTTTGAAGGATAGATTCTGACGTGACTTCCTGTCTTCGTCTTTGCTCCTACACCTGCTGCTGTTTTCACCTCGATCTTCAGTCTTTGTCTTTGCTTTCCTCTGGTTGTTCACTTTTGTTTGTTACCGGCTCGTGTCCTCAGAGCTCCAGACTCCACTTTCATTCTCCTCTCATTCACACTGGAAGCAGGCCAGTTTAACCACAGACTGCTGCTGTCAGCCAGTGAAGGTCCTTGTGCTCAAGGGCACTGCGACAGTAGTTCTTGATGAAGATTTTCCTAAACGTATTTCCGTGTTGCTCTGGGATTCAAACCTGTGAATTTTGAAGGCTCTAGGAGCACAAACAGGAACAAATCAGCAAATCTTTTCCCGTGTTGCTGAGTTGAGGTAACTGTGCACATGTTACTTGCAGTTTGAGGTGTTTGTACTTACTGCAGATATCTGTTGGCCTCTAAAGTTTACAGGAAACACTTACCAAGCAGTATGTCCTGCATAGTGCAGCTCTGATTTCTCACAGTGAGGAGTTCAGAGACTGCAGGCAGCAGCAGACTCGCTGCAGGCCGACACCAAACTGTAGCAGCTCCCCTTTCAGCAGCACCACAAAGCCAGAGAAGGTCTGAGATGAATGCACATATTTCTGTCTGCAAACAGAAACTGAGAAGTTTTCAAATTCATTCGCTGATGAAAAATATGAGAAATTTTGAGAAGTTGGTGCTTCTAAAATCTGTGTGTATGTTTACAGTAGCTTCATATTTTGACATTGAGGTGACTGGCAGAGGTAGCATAAGTGTGCAACATGTTTTTACTAAACCAGAGTAACACAGCTACAATCTACAATGTTTTTAAGGTTAAGTGTTGGGCGTGTGGGCCCAAGCACGTAGTTTACATACAGAGCTTTAAGGTTGGTAATAAATCTCAGTGCTTCATGACAGACCCAGCATATGAAAGCATTGAAGACGCACGTGTATAAATAACATGTTCATAATCCATCACTGCCACGAAAGTGCAAGAAAGAAGTTTCGTTTTCATCTCAAAGGACAGACCGACTTTCTTTTACCCGTTGAACGTGACCTGAAGAAGAGGGTCATCGGTATTAATTCCTAAATACAAAGAGAGTTCTGAAAAAGTTGGAATGTAAATAAAAACAAACTTCAATAATATCCAGGATTGTTTATATATGTAAAAATATATAACATACATCAAATATAGCAGTGGTCCTGGAACCGAACCCTGTGGCACACCTGTAGTTATATTAAGCATGCTAATGTAAAACAAAGGAAGAAGAAGAATAAAACCAGGAAGACAAATGTTAAAAATACAGGTAGCATGTAAAATGTCACAGTCTGGCGAGGGCAGACTGTATGAATTGATGAGAAGGACCCAAAACGCAGACCCCAAGGAACAGGGAACAAAACTTGAATGTTAACAAAAAGCGAGCCGTTTAATGAGGCTGGTAAAAGGTACAAACAAAGGCAAACTGAAGCAAAATGAACACAAACCTAAACTGGGAAATCTAAACAACAATATGAAAAAACCTGGACATGAAACCTGGTGTAAAGAACATGACATGAACAACAGACGACCTGACAAGGAATGAACAGAAACACACAGACTAAACACACACAAGGGTGATCAGGGGAAGTGGAAACCATGGAGAAACAGCTGACACTAGTCTGACATAACGAGACAAAGGAAGCAAAGCTGACTACACTGACATAGGACACAGACCTTCAAAATATAACAGGAAACATGTGACGCAGACAAGACAATATAAACTTGACAACATAAGACGCAGCATGAAACACATGAAGGGCAAAGGGAAACTTAAATACAGCGGTAGAAAACACAAAGGGAAACTAATAAACAACTTAGCTACCCTAAAGAACTCAAACATATCATCCAAATAAACTAAAACTCAAAACGCTGGGTCAGACCCAGGAACGTGACATAAAAACTGTAAAGGTGTGTGGCCCATATCATCCTGTAACACATGGTGCAGTGAGGAGCTCACCCAGCTGCTATAAAGTAGTAAAATGAGACTTCTGACCAAACCTCCTCGAGCTCTTCTCTTTTTCTCTTTTTTTTCCGTTTTGAAACACTGCCTGTTAATGCAGAGATCTGTCTGCAGCGTGGCGGATGTACGGACGACTGACTGCTGTGATGTTGCTTGTTGGGAGCAGCGGGAACGTGTGATAGATGGAGGAGCAGATTCACAGAACATAACAGGCCTCCAGAATCTGCTGAATCATCAAACCTATGTGATGTCGGCATTTTTGGAAAGAGTGCTCTGTTCAAGCACACACCTTTACGATCAGCAATCGGTCGAGTCTCCTGCAGCAGAAGCGGAGCCGCTGCAGCCCTGCTGGAGGTTTCCTGCAGTCTGACAGGTTTATTGTGACAGGAGCCTCCGTCCTGCGCATCCACAGCATTTTCTCCCACGTGTTCCAAAGCTGCTAATTTATTTATGTTTTTAGGAATTGATTTCTGAGGGAAACAGTTACTGCACATGTATTCAGTCATATGAACAACAGCACCTGACATATTTAGGTGTGTCGTCTATTTAACAACTAAAAAATGCAGAAGCCATGTGTGAAAAACTGATTCCATCCCGTGAAACTTGTAGAACCACTTTCAGTGCAATAACCTGCAGTATTCATCACTTCATCAGTCTCTCACATCGTTGTGGAGAAATCTTAGCCCACCTTTTTTACAGCATTTCTTCAGTTCATTGAGATTTGAGTGAATTCCTTTATGCACAGCTCAGGCTGAGGTCTGGACTCTGACCGGGTCATTGCACTCTGATTCTTTTCTTTGTAGACTTGCTGCTGTGCTTGTGATCATACCGTGATGCATGACTCACTTTGAGCCGAGCTTCATATTTGACTCTTTAATACTTTGGCATACAGAGGAGTTCATGGTCAACTGTTTGGTTTCCGAACATCTCCACTTTGTCTCGTCTCTTGTGGTTTTTTCAGATGCAGCTTCACAAACCTAATCTGTGCTGACATGTTGATTTTAAAGAGAAGAGGCTTTCTCCCTGTAACCCT